ATGCTCCAGAGAAATACCCCCCCCCGCCCCCGCCCCGTGTTTTCAAAGTGGGTTTTCCATGTGGAGCTGTTTTGCTGTTGCTGCAGCCCAGGGAGCTGGGAATTCACTGTGTGGTTGTCAAGCAGTTTGTAAGGAGCGGGCAGAAAACTGACTCACTGACAGCACATACTGGGAACGTTGTCGGTTGCTGGAGCAGGGACTGGGCAGACTGGTGCGTGGGTATGGTGTGGGTGAGGGTTTGGAAGTCGTAGTCACGGACCTGGTCCCCATTGTGTAAGGTGCTGGGGAAAGACAATGCGAGTCCATTCTCCAAGAGCTCATAGTTTGTGTTGCTCCAGGTCCAATCTAAGGATGAGGTGTTTTCCTATTGAAACAAAGATCCTGTGGGGAGAATCAAAGCCCGGCTGAGTTCCTGTAACTCCCACCAGGCTTCCCCTTCGGAATAGTTTTTCCATGTTGATGTTCAGGCTGGAGGAGAATGGGAGAACAGCAGCTTTAGAGTTTGTGTTTGCTGGTTCCTGAGCACACTTTGGGGCTGGATCACCCTCTCCTCTTGCAGTGTTTTCGGTGGAGAACTCCAAATGGTATGTGGGGACTTGCACGCCCAGCACAGCGATGCCTGCAGACCACTCCTCTCTGTTCCCCTTTGGAGACGCATGGGAATGCCAGGTCCACACTGCAGGTGGAAAACAGCATCTCTGGAATAAGGGAATGTTCTTAAATCTATAAAGAAGCTACAAGGCAAATCTCAACAGTTCTTCACAGTTTACTGCAGTGATGGTACCTGCTGTGCTTCATTTGAGCACCATGGCACATAGAAAGGAGCATTGCCCCACAGTGTGGTGTGAGGTACAGTAGCAGAGAAGTACTGGGAATTGCTGGGTGGCTGGAATCCCAGGTTTTTACCACTCCAAAGCATCTAAACAGGGTTCTGGGGCTGAGAAACAAACCCGGAGACTAGTGTGCAAAGTGAGGAGCTTTGAGTATGTCAAAGGGGTTGTGGTTGGTCTGATCCCTTCCATGGACTGTCCATCTCCTGGGGGTGACACTCCTCTTCTTCCTCAGCGCAGCCTGAATCCCTCTCTCACATGGCGAATGGCAGCAGTCCATGGACAGGGATCAGGATTGTGCCCAGCCTCTTTCAGCTGTATAATAAACCCAGAAGGACTCATCTGAATAGAGAAGGGATTGTGTGACCGGCTGTCCAGCATTCTTCCCCAAGCAGTGCCTGCTCAGGGCCAAGAAACGTTCCTCACTGGGCAGCATTGGGCTGAGTATTATTCTTTCTTCCTACAGTTTTCTCTCTGAATGATTTAATGAATTAATTCCAGTGTTGGACTTCCCCAAATACTGCAACTCGTGAGGTCTAAGAATTATATATTCACAGGGCTGTTATTTGCCATCAGCTTTTCACATAGAATCCCAGCCTGGTTTGTGTTGGAAGGGAGCTTAAAGCTCCTCCAGCTCCAACCCCTGCCCCGGGCAGGGACACCTTCCACTAGAGCAGGTTGCTCCAAGCCCCTGTGTCCCACCTGCCCCTGACAGGGATGGGGCAGCCACAGCTTCTCTGGGCACCCTGTGCCAGCGCCTCAGCACCCTCACAGGGAAGAGCTTCTGCCTCAGAGCTCATCTCAATCTCCCCTCTGGCAGGTTCAAGCCATTCCCCTTGTCCTGCCCCTACATCCCTTGTCCAAAGCCCCTCTCCAGGTCTCCTGCAGCCCCTTTAGGCACTGGAGCTGCTCTAAGGTGTCCCCTTCAGGAGCCTTCTCTTCTCCAGCTGCCCCAGCCCAAAGGCTTTTTAAGGGGAATTTCAACAAAATCCCACGATGTGATGTGTGGCTGCAGAGCTGATGTGACTTAGGAGTGCCTCAGGATGCAGCTCAACCTCTTCCACCAGGAAAGGGTTAACCCAGCCCAGCAGCACCGTCCGCACTGTTGAGTAGGAGTACCCGCTCTGGAGATGCAGTGCACTTGCTCTCTTGCTCTGATAGATGCTCTTTCAACTGTTGTGCCCTGTTCTTGTTTTCTTTCCAGGCTCTACTTTGCTGGGATGTAGAGGGATGGGGACAGCTGGCTAAAACTCAGATGTTGTTTTCTTCTTCACCAGATCAGCCATCCAAGGGGCCATGTTCAGATCTATCCTCTCTTAGCTCTGCGGCTGGAGGTGCCCACACTGACTCCAACGGCACAGCTTCACAGTCAGCGAGGGTGCTAAGGAGGCAATCCAAGCCTGTGGTATCCTTTCTTTAACATCTCACCACGGGGTTGATGGCTGTGGGGTAGAGGGGTATGAGTAGTACCCTTGGGTCAAGCACACTCGAGGGGCTTGTTCTCCCTTCATCTCCATGAGGGCTTTGCTGCCTTGGTTGGAGATTGTGGCTTCTCCAAACCACAGTGCTCCTCTCCGTGACACCAGGAGAGCGATTCCTGTCTTCTGTCCATTGCACTGTCCTGTCCTGTCCCTCCAGGCCCTTGTCCAAAGCCCCTCTCCAGGTTTCCTGGAGCACCTTTAGCCCCTTTAGCCCCATTGCACTGTGAAGCCAAATCAATGCTTGGGAGGGACCTCGTGGTCCTCTGGCAGGACTGCTTACACAACAGCAAGCCATTATTGCTTGCTCTAAAAAGCAATACTGAAAAACCAGCTGTCACAACAAAGAAGAACAATGCCTTGTCCTGGTGGTTTCTGTTTTCTTGGCCTATTTACTGATGTTTTCCCATGTTTCTTTCCTTAGGAGATGACCGAGAATGGCAGTCATCAGCTGGTGGTAAAGGCCAGGTTCAATTTTAAGCAGACCAATGAGGATGAACTCTCCGTTAACAAAGGAGACATTATTTATGTCACCCGGGTTGAAGAAGGGGGCTGGTGGGAAGGGACCTTGAATGGAAAAACAGGCTGGTTCCCAAGCAACTACGTCAGAGAAATCAAATCCACCGGTAAGCACAGTGCTTCCAGGGGCTGATTGAATGACAGTGCTAATGCAGTGGAGAGCCTGGTGCCTTTGGGAAATTGCTGCTATTTATTAAGGACCATTTACATCCTTAAAGCATCGGGGCTAATGGAAGGATGAATGAGGCCAGAACGTAAAGCCTAGTTTGTGCATGAGTTGTTTGAGAGCTGCTTCACCCTCTTCCCCACCCCATTCTATTGCTCCCTGGATGTCGCCGGAGGATGAGGCCAGAGGTGGCTGTGTTGGTCCCCTTTATCCTGGGAAGCTGCCAGGTCATTCCAGCGTCTGAGCACGGAGTTAGCTCTTTGTTACAGACCTCGGTCAGGAGATGTATTTGTGTTTGATCCTGATGTTTCTGGCAGTGCTGGAATGGATGGATGGATGCTCATGGTTGCATCCAACCAACAAAACCTTATGGCCCCAGGGAATGGTACCCTTTTGTCCATAGTGACGGCTGGTTTCACATAGTACATTTTCCCTCCAGATGCATCTTCTGCTGTGATATTGAGAAAGGAGGAGGGAGGGGATGATCCAGCTGATGACATCTGCCTTCACTGAGCTTTGTCTTGAGTGTCCTTCCCATTTTCTGCGATGTGATTCTAACCAGATGTGGGGTGGTGATGACAGGAAGCATGCCCCTGGCTGACTGCCCCGTAGCGTTACATACCCATTCAAACCACTCACCCCCTTGTGCTTTCGAGGCCATTGTGTGATAGAAAACTTGCTTCTTTACCAAATTCAACTTAATTCCTTAATGTGCCTCAGGGGTTTACTCCAGATAGAGACCTGTTGTGTGCTTGGTGCTGGTTTTATGGCTCAGGATCAGCCCTGGCCTCTAACACATGAGCAGTGGCCTGCAAAACATACAGCCCCCATTAGACATCCTTGCTCCCACACTTGGAAGCAAAAAAGCAAAGGAAGGAAGAATAAAAGTAATGAGTGCTCAGAATTAGGCCAGGTTTTGTTTAATTCTACATGAAAAGTCATTGTTAGGATAACTCATCTCCCACTGTTTCCCTCTGGGAAATGATGTCTGAGCTGGAGCAGGACGTTGCAGCGGGTTGAAGTCTTGTCTGGCACAACCCAGGAATCACTAATGAAGTCAGTGAGGAAAGAACTGTTACTAAGAAAGGAGAGCAAACTTCAGTCCTGTTGGGGAATCAGATGGGAGCTGCATGGAATAACAGCACCTCATTGAAGCAAAGGGTGAGCCTCCCATTGATCCTGATATAGGACCCCATCCCTACAGCTTTTCCCTCCAGATCCTCTCTGCAGCACCCATTTCACACGGGAGGAGGCTTTGTTCCTTTGTTGCCCTGCTCTCTGCTTGCTCAGGACTGTGGCTGTGTTGCAAATGATGGATGCAGGGATGGATGCTAACCCACTCCTGCCCGGGACTGGGGGCTACAGCCCTGGGGAGCTGCTTTCCTCACCTCCAAAGTGTGGGACTTGTCACTCTAAACGGAGTCACTTGTTTAGCAGCAGTGTCTGCACCTCACTGTGTCCTAAGCGTGCCCTTTAGGTGGAAATAACATGCTGTGTGGAGCAGAGCTCTTCCAAGGCTTCAAATGAGGCACAGAGCTACCGGCTGGAAGTGACAGGAAGCTCTAAAGGGCAATGATTAGACAATGCATCAATCTGTGCTTTCCAGGGGCTAAATTTATCAATTTCAAGCTTCTCCCCTGCTATCAGTGTGAAAGTAATTGCTGTTGGTGGGATTTAGCTAATGCAAGAGGAAGTCTGCTGATGACACAGAGCTGTGTAATGCAGTTGACACGCTGGAGGGAAGAGAAGGACATGGACAGGCTGGAGAGGTGGGACTGTGCAACCTTATGGAGTTCAACAAGGCCAAGTGTAAGGTTCTGCCCATGGGTTGGGGCAGCCCCAGCACAAACACAGACTGAGGGAGACTGGATGGAGCAGCCGTGAGGA